CTGAAAGGCCCCCGGGGCCCGCCCCTCCCGCCGCTCACTTTCGTTTCCTAGGCTGTGTGGGGCGGCCGCGCGGCGTTCGCGCTCGAAGTGCCAGCACGTCTCGTCCGGTCCCCAGGAGCGCCATGGCGGAGCTGGTCCCCCTGGCCGAGGAGCTGTCGTGCTCCATCTGCCTGGAGCACTTCAAGGTGCCCGTCACCACCCCGTGCGGCCACAACTTCTGCAGCTCGTGCCTGAACGAGACGTGGGCAGTCCAGGAGCCGCCGTACCTGTGCCCGCAGTGCCGCGCCAGCTATCAGGAGCGGCCGCTGCTCCACAAGAACACGGTGCTGTGCGCGGTGGTGGAGCAGTTCCTGCAGGCCGAGGTGGCCCGGGTGGCGCCGTCGCCCCCCGACGGCTGCATGCCGCCCGCCCGCGCCGCGGAGCCCAGCCCGCCCTGCCAGGTGGCCTGCGACCACTGCCTGAAGGCGCCCGCCGTCAAGACGTGCCTGGTGTGCATGGCCTCCTTCTGCCAGGAACACCTGCAGCCGCACCTCGACAGCCCCGCCTTTCGGGACCACCAGCTGCAGCCGCCCGTCAAGGACCTGATGCGCCGCAAGTGTCCCCAGCACAACAGGCTGCGGGACTTCTTCTGCCCCCAGCATGATGAGTGCATCTGCCACATCTGCCTGGTGGAGCACAAGGCCTGTTCGCCTGAGACCCTGAGCCAGGCCAGCGCAGACCTGCAGGTAAGGGGTGTTGGGGGAGGGAGCCACTGTGGGCATAGTGGCCCACCACGGATCACCTGGGGTAGGGGGATGGGCCTTGCTGGGCCTGGGAACCGGGGCCGGGCGTCCCCAGCGTCGTAATAGAAACGGGCGGAGAGAACACACAGCCCTCCTCTGTCATCCTTGGCCCACCCTCTTCCCCCCACCCTCTGTCTTAAATAGGGGAATGCTGAAGACAGGTGGTTGCTTGCCTTAAGCCTAGTATTTGTCTGATGGTGTTTAGCAGAGGGTTTCCAACGTCAAATATGAGCCCTGGAGGTTACCTCTGTTTCCGCATTTAAATCCTGGCAGCTGGAATTGAATATAATTAGTTCCATTTTACAGTTGAGGAAATGGAGGTCCAGAGAAGTTAATTTAGCCTGAGCTGTTGGGACCCCAACGGGTTTGACTCTACGGTTTGCCGTTTCTCCCCATGACCACCCTTATATCTGAGTGCATGGAGCATGCGACATTCTTGCAGGCTTGAGGTCATGTGTGCAAAAACTTTTGGTGAGCCAGAGAGTGACCAGGGAGGATCGTATTGAGCAGGATGGTGGGCAGAGTCCCAAATATCTCTGGATACTACCCAGAGGGACAGCCAAACTCTTGCACCATAGTGACCTCCACCTTGGCTGTGCAACTTTGAGCACAGCCTTTGGTCCCTGGGGCCTGAGTCTTCATCAGTAAAGCAAGGAGGCGGGACCAGGTGGTTTCGTAGGGGGCCTTCCAGATCTGTGTTGATTTTAGTGGTTTGGGGGAAATCATAACTTCCCCTTGTGGACTCCAGGCAGAGGCTGAAAGGTGTAAGTGAACCACCTTTTTTTATATCAGCCTGAGCTCTGAGGCATGGCCTGATTGCCTTTCATTTTCACAGTCAAGGACTGTCCTGTTGTCGAAGGAGATAAGAGACCCGGGGGAGGTTTGCGGTGGCGCCGGGACCAGGCTCCGAGCCCTGCTCCTGTGAAGCCATGGCCCTTCCCGGGCCTGGTCTGCTTCTCTGTCTGAGCTGGGTCCCTTAGGACTTCTTCCCTGAGTCTTGGAGGCCAGACCTCAAAGCACGGCCAGGGGTTGACCTCTGAGGCACAGCTATGTCGGGCCTCGCCGCCTGGGTCTCCAGCGGCCACACTAAAGAACCTGCCTCGCCTTTCGAGCCAGGAGCCCTGCTCTGCTCCATATCAGCTGTGGTTCAGGGCAAGTCGCTGCAGTTCTCCCAGACCCGCTTCCTCATCTGTAAAATGGGGTTAAGAGCATTTCTTCTCGACCTGCAAGGGTGGTCAGGAGGCCCTGGGGAGATGAGCTGTGTGGGAAGTGCTTTGTGGGCAGGTCCTGGTGTCAGGCAGGTGGCTGGTTGACCCAGGCTCTGACCTGGGCTGGGTGTTGAGACCTGAGCTTGAATTCTGCCTCTTCTTCCTAGCCGTGTGAGCGCTGCCTAAGCCCTGCCGGTGTGGTTTCTGGGAAGAGAGCTTGCTGGGGGTGGTGTCAGGCGACCAAGATCTTTGTGGCCCTGGGGTGCCCGGGCCTGTCCCTGAGCACTTGGGCAGCCGGCTTCTGCCAAAAGGCTCTTCTAGAAGTTCTTATCCAGGGAGGCAGAAGGCAAGTAGGGGCAGGAGGGTTCCTCTCAGCCTGGCCTGGAGCTACAGCTGTCTCTCTCAGCCTCTGGGGCCCGGAGCTGGAGTCTGCACCCAGTGTACCTGTGTGCCATACTCGCTTGGCTTTGTAATCCTTGTAACCGGCCTTGCCTTGCTGCTTCTTCCATCAGCCTCCACGTCTAGCCCTGCCACCGCTCACTGCTGGGACAGAGCCAGCCCCATCTGGGCAGTGCCCCAGCTGTGGGAGGCTGGTTCGTCCTGACCACTGGTGTGGGGCAGACCCGGGACTCTGCTGCCTCCCACGTCCTCATGGCGGACCCAAGTCCCTGATCTGTGAACAGGTCCTCAGAACTTCAAAAAGTTCTCTACCCTGGATGAGGGGAATGTTGCACCTCTGAAAGTCCTTGGGCCACTTTCCTGTGTCTGGAGCCAGGGAGGCCCCTCTGTGCCATCAGGGGACTGTCATATGTGTTTGATTACTGACGGATAAAGTTTTCCCGGACACAGAGGTCTGGGGTGCACTAAGAGTGGCTGTTGGAGGTGGAACAGTGTTGGGCTGTTGGCAGCCCCCCAGGTGTTCTGAGTTCTCTTGCCGTTCTGACCCCTGTGAGGCCGGATCTGCCATGGCCTGGCCTCCTGCCTTTGGCCCACAGTTTATCTTGGCTACTGTGAGAGGCCAGGTCAGAGGGCACTGTCACAGAGGTTGAATTGGAAACACCATCCGTAACTTGGGCTTTCGGGGTCAAGTTAGTGTGGCCTTGGTCTCCGCTTCTAGCGCCTTATGTGACTTGTCACTGTGTTGTTCAAATCCAGATTCAAGGTCAGGTTCAGAACTGAATATCTCTAGTGGTGTGGGAGGGCTGGAGGATGTTGAGCTAGCTTGTTAGGGGAAGTAAATGTTTTTTGTCTAGACATTTCTAACGTACTCAGTGCTTTGATTGTAACACCAGGATCTTGGAACACCAGTTCACAGAGATGTGACCTAGGGTGAGCCACTTCATGACTCTGCTTCAGTGTCCTTATTTATGTGGTTTTTTTTTTAATGTTTATTCTTGAGAGAGAGAGAGGGAGGGGGAGAGAGAGAGATAGAGAGAGAGAGAGGGAGAGAGAGGGAGGAGGAGGGGCAGAGAGAGAGGGAGACACAGAATCCAAAGCAGGCTCCAGGCTCTGAGCTGTCCGCACAGACCCTGATGCGGTGCTTGAACTCACAAACTGCGAGATCATGACCTGAGCCAAAGGCAGTCGCTTAACCGACTGAGCCACCCAGGCGCCCCTCAGTGTCCTTATTTATAAAGGGTGGGTCGCTCCCACTTTACAGTGTTGTTTTTAGCTTTAAGTTAATACCTGAAAAGCACTAGAACAATGCCTGGCTTGCAGTGAATATATAAGAAACAGTAGCTACTCTTACGGTGGTGGTGATTTTCCTTGCCATTTCTACACCATAACGTTTCACCTGAGCAGGGAGGCAGGACACTCCAATATCGATTCTGAAAATTGATAGAAATACTAAGAGACCTAAGATGATACTATTTTCCTTCATGCATAATTGACCTTGGTTCCTGGAGGTTGTTAAGGACTTTGTAATTCTGAGTCACCTTAATTCAGTTTCGGGGGTTGACCTGGTGGTGGACTGGCCTCCTGCTTGTTGATCCTCATTCTTAGGGTGTTAGCCCGCGGAGGTCCCTGCCTGTGGGGCATACCAAATGAGCCTTGGACTCTGACTCTTGTTCCTGCTTCCCTGAGGTTGACCGTGGCTCTTCCAGCTGTGTTCTGGAATTGGCAGATGACTCTGGGAGAACAACTCCAGAAACCAGGCTTTTCTCTCTGGGTTTTCCTTTTCCCAGATCTTGGCTGTGTCATTCTTCCCTGCTTAGTTAGCTCTCCCTTGTCATTAAGCAGATTTTTCTTCCCAGTAGTTTGTCTGCTTTTCTGGTTGTTTGCAGTGGGAGGGCTGGCTTGAATGACTGAAGCAACTGTCCCAGCCCCAGCTGTTCTGGCTATGGTGTGAACTTGGCCCCCTTGCTGGGCTTCTTGCCTCAGTTTCATTGTCTGTAAAATGGGTGTGCCAACAAAGCAGCTCTTAGTAACGCAACCTGACATTTAGTTTGGCTGTACTAGGATCCAGGCACTATGCTAAATCCTTACATTGTTTCAGTTAATCCTCCTACTAGCCCTGCGGGGTGGGAACATTTGTATCTATTTCAAGGCCAAGGACCTAGGTGAGAGACTCTTGGACAGCTGGGAATGGGTCGGTCTAAGTCCTGTGCTCCTAACTTCTTTCTTGTACTGTCCCTCTAAAAGTTGGAAGGGAGGCAATAAATAAGAGAATGCTTCAAACAGCTACAGGCAGGCAAGACCTGGGCCAGTAGAAACGCCTGTGGGATCGTTCTGGTGTTGGCTGGTGGGGGCTGGGCTGAGGTGATTTCTCACCTGCTTGTTTTCTCCGCAGACCAAGCTGAAGCATAAACTGACCATCATATGCGATCAGATCAATGGTGCATCGAGGGCACTGGAGGACGTGAGAGCCAGGCAGCAGGACATACGGGTGAGTGACAGGGCTGTCCACTGCCAGCCCCGGCCCCAGACCCTCCCTCAGCCTCCAGGCAGGACAGGCTCAGCTCTGATCTCCACAGGGCTACACACATGGTGTCACACATGGCATTGGAATTAGACATCACCCATGCAGGACATCCAAAAAGCCATGTCCCCAGGGGAGATCCTTCATAGACCCAGACTGAATACTGTCTACAAGCCCTGACCTTGGTGTGAGGAGGACGGGGTCAATCACTAAAAATTAGGGTTAAAAAGTAGTAATATAGATGCGCCTGGCTGACTCAGTCAGTAGAGCATGGACTCTCGATCTCGGGATTGTGAGTTCGAGCCCCGTGCTGGTGTAGAGCTTCACTTAAAAAAAGAAATCATGAAGGAGCACCTAGGTGGTTCAGTCGGTTAAGCGTCCAACTTTGCCTCAGGTTGTGATCTCGCAGTTTGGGAGTTGGGGCCCCACTTTGGGCTCTGTGCTGACAGCTCAGAGCCTGGAGCCTGCTTTGGATTCTTTCTCTCTCCCTTTCTCAACCCCTACCCTGTTTGCACTCTGTCTCTCTCTGTCAGTAAAAAATGAATAAACGTTAAAAAAAAATCATGAGGAAAAAAGTATTAATATAAAAAGTGATTATGTGTTCTTTCTTTCTTTTTTTTTTTTTTGAATGTTTATTTATTTTGAGAGAGAGCACGCACAAGCATGAGCTGGGGAAGGGCAGAGAGAGAGGGAAAGAGAGAGAGAGTCCCAGGCAGGCTCTGTGCTTCGGACCTCGATCCCACAACCGCCAGATCATGACCTGAATGGAAATCAGGAGTTGGAAGCCCCAAGTGGTCATGGTTTAAATGGGAAAAAAAACAGGAAGCAAAAGTGTATACTCACTAGAGTTACATCTTTTTATAAAAATAAAATGTATCAGTTCTAGGGCTGTCATAACAAATTACCACAACCTCCGCTCACAAGGAGAAATGTATTCTCATAAAGTTCTGGAGGTCAGAATCCTGAAATCAAAGACAGGGCCACACTTCCTCATTCTAGAGAAGAATCCTTCTTTGCCTCTTCCAGCTTCTGGTGGCTCAGGTGTTCCTAGGCTTGTGGCTGTGTTACTTCAGCCCCCACCTCTTGTCTTCTCATGGCCTCCTCCTCCCTCTGTGTCTTTTCTTCTGTCTCTAATAAGGACACTTGTCATTGGATTTAGGGCCCACCTGGGTAATCCAGGATAATGTCATCTCAAGATTCCTACCTTAATTACACCTGCAGAGACTTTTGCTGAGTAACGTCAGCTTCGCAGGTTCTGGACAGATCTCTTGGGGGCCACCATTCAACCCATTATGGGAAGTATGGGAGAAAAGACTGGAAGGAAGTATAGGAAGAGAATAGTAGTACCAGTATTGGAGTGGTAGAGATTTTTTTTTGTCTAGTTTTCACAAATCTTGTAAGTTTTTAATATTATATATAAAAAGAATACGTATATATAGAATGTATGTATTTTATATATTTATATATATTTATATTTTATATACATAGAATATATTTATTATATATATATGTAATATATATAGAAGAATACGTGTATATAGAAGAATACATATATATAGAAGAATACACGTGTGTAGAAGAATACATATGTATGTATACACATACACATATATGTACACATACACATACATACATACATACATACATACATATATATATATATATATGGAAAGTTTTTAAGTAATCTCTACCCAGCGAGGGCCTTGAACTCATGACCTTGAGGTCAAGAGTTGCATGCTCTTCTGACCCAGTCAGCCAGGCACCCCTAGAGTCTTTTCTTATTACTCTAGTACTGCATGGGGGGTTTTCCTCATTTCTTTGGTTGAAGCTGGGTCACCATCAGATCTCTGTTCTAGCCGGGAGTAAAAGGGACAGGGAAGAAGAGTGTCACACATACCACTTTGCTCACACTGCACTGGGAGTAGCTTAGTCACATGGCCAACTCTAGCTGCAGGGAATCCTCGGAAATGTAGTCTGGCAGGGCAGCCATGTGCCCTCAGAAACTCCAGGGGTGTTCTCTTACTGAAAGGAAGCCATTCTGTCTGTTTCTAAGCTTTATATGAAGAGCATCATGCTGGACGTCTTCTTCTACAGGTGGTTTTTCCCTCATTTGTCCATGCATTGCCCCAGCTCATTAGTTTTCATTACTATCCAATATTCTGTCCTGTGAATAATTTGTAGATTTGTATCAAGTCTCTTACTTATTTTTAATTTTTTTAACTTTCAAATTTATTTTAGAGAGAGAGGGAAAGAGAGAGAGAGAGAGAGAGAGAGAGAGAGAATCTTAAGCAGGCTGCACACTTACTGCAGAGCCCGATGTGGGGCTCAGTCCCACGAACTGTGAGATCGTGACCTGAGACAAAATCAAGAGTCGGACGCTCAACCGACTGAGCCACCCAGGCACCCCTCGAGTCTCTTATTGTTAGACATTCAGTTCTTTCCGGGGTTTTGCCAATTCAAACAGTGCTGCTTGTGAGCGTTCTTGTGTCTGTTTCTGGGGCGGGCATCTGAGAATATACCTTGATTTGGTCTGAGCACCTTCAGATTTATTAGATGTTGCCAAATTCCCACCCAAAGCAGTTGTGCCCGTCTATACTCCCACGAAGTACAGGGAAGAGTCTCCAGTGCTCCACACTTCACCACTGCTCCGTACACAGGCTTAGCTTTTTTGTCTGATGGACGCCCCTGTGTCTTACCCCGCTAGGAGACTGCCCGCAGGAAGACGGAGCAGCTCAGACAAGAATATGTGGAAATCAAGATACTCATTGATGCCGCAGAGGCCATCTGCACACGAAAGATAAAGGAGGAGCAGAAGAGAGTCAGTACCAAGTTTGACAACATTTACCAGATCCTCCTCAAGAACAAGAGTGAGATCCAGACTCTGAAGGAGGAGATTGAACTTGCCCTGACCAAGGAGGATGAGTTCGAGTTTCTGGAGGTAGGTCTTGATGAACACTCTTTCTGCCTGCCATTACGATGTTGATTATAGGTGCAGTGGGGCCCTCGAGGTGGGGCTGTAAGAGGTCATTTGAAGCATCCCCCAGACACACTGTATCTACTTTCTATGCCGTGTGACAACTTACCACAAACTCAGTGGCTGGGGAGAGCATGTGTGTTATCTCACTCTCCATGGCTTAGGAGCTGGGACGGGCTGAGCTCGGCTTGGCTGCTGAGCTTGGGGTCAAATTCACTTCCCGTGGTGCAGGCCTGAGGTCCCCGCTTTCTTGCCGGCTGGTGGCTGAGGTCTGCTCTCCGTTCCCACAGGCTGCTGCCTTTCCTTGCCACGTACGTGGCCCTCTCTCCACTTGGCAGTTACCTCTTCAAAGCCAGCAGAGAATTTCTCCCTCCAGGAAAGTCTGTTCCCTTTTTTTCCTGCTTGGATTATTAATCTTTTCTTTTTTTCCTTTTTTAGAAAGAATATTCTTCTTCTTTTTTTTTTTAAGTTTATTTATTTATTTTGAGAAGAGAGAGAGCACTAGTGGGGGAGGGACAAAGAGAGTCCCAAGCCCTGTGTTGTCAGTGCAGAGACTGACGTGGGGCTCGGTCTTACGAACTGAAATCATGACCTGAGCTGAAATCAAGAGCCGGATGCTTAACCGACTGAGCCACCTAGGCGCCCCTCTTTGTTTTTGTGTTTTTTTTTTTTAATATTCCAGTGTAACACATACAGTTTTACATTAGTTTTAGGTGTACAATATAGTGATTTAACAATTCTTTTTTTTTCCTTAAGTGATTCAGCAATTCTATACGTTACTCAGTGTTCATTGTGATGAGTGTGCTTTTTTCCAAAATTATTTATTTCTTCTTCTTCTTTTTTTATTTTGGAGAGAGTGCAGACAGGGGAGAGGGGCAGAGAGAGAGAGAGAGAGAATTCTAAGCAGACTTCCACACTCAGTCATGGGGCTTGATCCCATGACTTTGGGATCATGACCTGAGTGGAAATCAAGAGTCAGACACTCAACTGGCTGAGCCATCCAGGTGCCCCATGATGTGTGTGCTCTTAATCCCCTTCACCTATTTCACCTATTTCACCACTCACCTCTTGGTAACTGTCAGTTCTCTACAATTAAGAGTCTGTTTCCTGGCTTTCTCTCTCTCTCTCTTTTCTCTTTGCTTGTTTGTTTTGTTTCTTAAATTGCCACAAATGAGTGAAATCATATGGTAGTTGTCTTTCTCAGACTTAATTTCAGTTAGCATAATGCTCTCTAGCTCCATTCATGCTATTGCAAATGGCAAGATTTCATTCTTTCTTACAAACTCGGTCCCTTTTAGTGGCTCCTACCTGGTTAAGTCAGGCCCACCTGGGATACTCACCTTTCTGATGAACTCAAAACCAACAGATTTGGGATCTTCATTACATCCGCAATATTCCTTCAGTTTTTCCATCTAAGGTAACCTGATTCCAGGAGTGACATCCTACCATAGTCACTGTCCTGCCTATACTCAGAGGGAGGGGATTATATAGGGTGTGTACCCCTGGATCAGATGGGCATTTTGGGGGCCATGTTAGAATGTTGCCTATGCCCCTTCCCCCCTCCCCATGGACCCTGGAAGTGTCTTTCTAAAGCACAGACCCCCCCCTGCCCTATCTGACCTCATGTCCCTTAGCACCCCTGTCTTTGGCATCACACTCCTCTCTTGCCCCGTGCTGTAACCACAGCAGAGCATCACCATTGCCCAGACAGACCCGGCATTGGATGGGAATGCCGTGGCTGTCCTTTTCCCAAGGCCGCTCCAGACTCCCCCACCCCCGTCTTCCTTGGATCCTGCTCTTCTGCCCTTCCTGGTGATCGAGTGGGTCGGTCTGCCTCTGCTGTAGCACTCGGTGGTGGCGTGGTTTTAGATGTGCTTGTCGATGTGTCTGCTGTCCGCCCCTTTGGGCCAGCCCTTCCCTTAACTGCCCCCTTCTCCTGGCCTGCAGCGTGCAGCGGGTATCCCGGTGAGCCCCATCGATGGGGTGACGACACCTCAGAGGCCCAGGTTCCTTGTTCAGGTCCTGGGGAGAGTAGAGGAGTGGCTGGGAGTCTTCTCTTCCCCCTGCACGGACTTCTTTCCAGGCCTAGGCTCAGTGCCATCGAGTTTCATCTCTGTGGTCCTTCTTGTGTATTAGAGTAGCTGCCTAGAGCTCTCGGAGAAGGATTCTAAGTCCCTGTCTGGGGACCTCTTGATGTTGTGTGACCCGATTTTAGCTCAAGTCTGGGGACTTTTGTAAGATCCTCCCTTTTCCCTGGATGTGCCCTGGCCGAACCCTCTGCCCGCTGAGGCAGCCCTGTCCAGTTTTAGAATGGGTGTTTGGAGCTGGTCTTTTGAGGGTTGGAGATGGTCCTGAGTCTCCTGTACTTTTCCAGCCACAGCTGGAGGAGTGGAAGAGCATTATTCACGGGGGTCAGGAGATTTATGTCCCAGCTTTGTCCCTGCCACCAACTGGCAGTGTTCCTAGCAGGACACTTTTTCTCTTTCTGTCTCCCCCCATTCCTTTCTTCCTCTCTCTCTCTCTGTCTCTCTTTCTTTTCCTCCTTTCCTTCCACGTTATTTATTTATTTCCAGTTTATGTATTTTGAGAGAGAGCGTGCGAGCAGGGGTGGGGGGCAGAGAGAGAAGGGGACAGAGGATCTGAAGCAGGCTCTGT